ACTGCGTACAGTCTTGACATTCGTAGCTAGCCTTTCAGCGGGGAGACCTGTGTTGACATTTGGCGCTGTGCCGACCAAGAAATGTGCGCTTGAGATGACAACGGCAAGTCGCCGATCTTCAAAGGTACACTTGGCCCTACAATATCTTATCTGAAACTTCCTCCGCATCGAGAAGTTGTTTCGGTCATATTAGCCAAGGGTATTCATAAGTTACCCCCGGTTACTTGCGCTGACAGTTGCACATTGGTTCATTCCCATAATGACGTGAATCCAGGGTTCCATTACTATGAATCAGAAGGTACTGCTCTGAATATCCAGGTTATAACTGGAGCAGCACATTCACGAATCATCTAATGCCTGAAGTCCACCAAACCTCAGGCAGGCTTCGATCAGGATATGTCATAGTTCGAGGACTTGGCTGATGCGCCGACGCCTGAGGGAGCCGCTAGAGAGGCTTCAGGAGCCGAACCAGAACATGATGACGGACGGCTGTCTACGATCTACGAAGAATCAGAAGCTGATCTTGAGTCACATGCCATGGTGGTATGGTACGCAGAGTTGCCGGAGGAATGTTGGAGGCAGCTCCACTAGAAGAACTCTTTACCGTACCCACGCAGATGGTTCGTGCTGAGATTGCGTTGATCACTGTATCTGATGAGTAGCGGGAACACCTGCCGAAGTGGGGACGCACTCATGATCTTGATATCGAGGAAACGTACCTCGCTCCCTTGTGCACCCTGGTCGAAAACGACAGCTATGGATTCGATTCTGACGAAAATGGTGCATGCGTTTCACTCTGCTTTACAACAGAGATGTCAAAGGTAGTCTTGTCCGAGAAGCAACAAATGCTGTTAGACGCCGACCGGGTGACCACCATGCGAGTATACGTTGTCGCCGCTGCAGAGCGAGCTGTGGTCGCCAAGGAAGATGACCTTCTCACTGAGGCTGACGCCCAGGCGAATCCCGAGAAAAGATCGAAGGCCCTTTTCACCGAACTCAAGACATGGTTCGACAATAAATGCTTCAAAATGCAGGAATTCGCCAAAGCGTAGAACATGACTTCGAGATATGTGTGCAAATGGGAATTCGTTAGGAAAACGACAAGGGTGATATGGAACGCACCATCCGATTTTGTCTGGTACTTCGAGGCTTCATGGATCTATAAGCTTTCGGTGTAGAGACGTTTTCGGGAACAGCCAGAAGGTCAAGCCAGAGGTTGCTTGCCAGCACGGCAGCGTGCAAGAAACAGTGGATCATTGCTTCCCTGGACATCAACATGGCCTTCCTAAAGGGATTGACCTATCGAGAACCCGCCGAGAGCCGGTGAGAAGGAACGCGCGGCGTGCTTTACTTTGCCGCCTGGGTCGGCAACTGCGCTCCGTACTCTTCCAGGATTTGAGAACTGCGACGAGTCAAAGCACTGTCTGCAGTGCTTGAAACGGGGCACAGGCACTGAGGGCTCCCCGCGGGCTCTCGCGCTCAAGCTCAGCAGAACCGCCAGAGGATTTGGCCTCCGACCTACGTCTTACAACGAGGAGTTCGAGACGAGCAATATCTTGCTCGCGGCCAAGCCTGTTGACGACATGAACATGACCGGTACTGAGGACACGGTATCAAATTCGTTGAGGATACCTCTGGCGAGTTTAAACTCAACAAGCACACATATACGAAGTGCGCTGTGAGGCACGCCAAGGATGAGGACGGCAATGTCGCTGCGGGCCAAGATGAATACATTAAACAGCTCCGACCTATACAACATCCTGAATTGACCTGCGCGGACGCTGACGCTCAAGCGACCAAGATGGCGGCAGATATGTCCGTCAGCCTCAGAGGTGCGCTGGCATAAAGCATTGATCAGCCAGATCTGGCTGATGGTCTATGTTGCGTCTCTCCAACGTGTCCAAGAACCGACCAATATTCAAGTGCGACGATTGAACGCGATCACCAGAAAGCTGCAGGCCTGCCCGAGGAAGATCGTCTTCCAGGCGATGAACCCCACGGGCGAGGTCGACTTACGTAGCGACTCAGGCTATCGACGCCTGAGTGGGGACGCCGATGACGACGTCAAAGGCAATGGCATTCGCGGGGCAAACCTGCTACGACGTGGAAGCACGTCATCTAGCAAGCCTGTCGTTCACTCGATTGATGCGCACTGCAAGTCTCGCCACTTGCAAGTCCGCTCAAGCTACTCAGCAGAGACACTTGCAGCAGCCCATAATTTGGAGGACTGTTATCCCACGATTGTGACTCTGCACGAGCTCCATGCGGGGCCACTCACACCCACTCAGTTGAAAGATATACTTGAGTTGGGTGGCCTGTGCAGCAAGGTCACTTCGACCACCGATGCTGAGTCTGTCTTGAAGCCCTTGTCAAGCAAAGACTTGAGGAAGCCGACAGAGTGTACCCTTTGAGGACACACAAGTTGGATACGACAGATGATGGAGCGCGGAATCGTGCATAGCATTCAGTGGTGTGATACCCGCGATATGACTGCGGATGGACACACACACAAAAGGCGGCATTGACAGAGAAATACCCCTACAAATCATGGGAGGTATAATGACCTTCAAACATGGCCTGAAGAGACATACGCCACATCGGGCTGGCCAGACATCAAGTTCCGACGCCGCCTGATGCGTATGCCCTACACTCGCGAGGCAACTCGCTGACGGGTCCAACTCCGTTGGGTCCGTCTCTTTTCCTGTCTTCGTATAGGCTAGCTGCTGACTCTAAAGCGAGCTGGGGGGACGTAGGGAGCGGAAGCGAGCGTGCGCCCGCGGCCGTCTTGGTTCAAGCGGCCAGCCGCCTAGATTTCACTGTGCCTCACCGCGAGGCACACTATCGTTATCGATACTAAAAGGCATCCCCTTTTACTTGACATGGCTTCCCCTCTTGCATTGGGGCTACCGTGACTACGATACAACCGAGCTGGAGCTTGGCTTCGCCTGAGGCGAAGCTGTTGGCGGGGCCTCCTAGCCCTTTTCAAACTATCGTGGCCATCTTGGAGGCCATCTTGAGTGTTAGAGGATTTCTTCCGGTTTGGGTTTTTTCTGGGTGGCCGGCGGAGCGCGCCGGAGCCCCAGTGGGAGTTCAAACGATAGGGTTCGGCACGCCAGGCTTTTTTCTTGCAAGCAACAAGGGGCGGCGGATCTAAGATGCCCACGGCGAATCACCGCCGCCCCCTGCCTTCTTGGAAGCGCCTAGGTGGCCGAACGTTATGGCCAGACCTGCCAAGCTATCCGACCATGTGTTCCCCGAATCGGTTTGGAGAGCCTTCGGGGAACACGCGGGCATCTTGAAAGTCATTTTGGCCATTTTGACCCTTTCGGGCCTTCTTGGACGACGTCTTGGCGGGCTCTTAGGGCCGTCTTGGATGCCATCTTGAATGTCTTGGTCTTGGGCCCTCTTGGGGGCCTCTTGGGGCCGTCGTGGGCCTCTTGGGCGATCTTTGGGTGCACTTGGGCCGTCTCGGGAATGATTTTGACCTGTTTCGGCCCTTCCTGGAGGCCCTCTTGGAAGCCTCGTGGGCCGTCGTGGGACATCTTAGGGCCATCTTCGGCCGTTTTGGTAGGCTTCTGGCCCGTCCGACGCCGTCGGAAGCCGGTTGGCGGGCCCCTCTGGGCCGACTTGGGGTCTTCTTGGAATTTTCCAGGGCCGTCTTGGAGGCTATCTTGGGCGTCTTAAAAGCTTCCTGGGCCGTATTGGGGGCCTCCTGGGCCGTTCTGGGGCCAGTTTGGAGGCCTCTTGGGCGATCTTTGGGCTATTTTTGGGGGTTCGTGGGCCGTATTTGGCTTTCGGATGGCCGAAAAGGAACAAATGCCAAAAACCTTCAACAACTATGACAACAAACCATGTTGTTGGCCTTCCTGGAGGCCCTCTTGGAGGCCTCTTGGGCCAGCTTCGAGCCGACTTCGGCCGTCTTGGTGGGCTCCTGGCCCGTCTGACGCCGTCGGACGCCGTTTGGGGGGCCTCTCTGGGCCGACTTGGGGCCCTCTTGGGGTGCTCCAGGGCCGCCTTAGGGCGTCTTGGAGGCCTCTTGGGTCGTCTTTGTGCCCTCTTGGGGCCGTTTGGGGGACCTCTTGGGCAGTCCTGAGGCCATCTTGGAGGCCTCTTGGGCGCTGTGACGGCGATTTTGGGGGCCTCTTGGGACGTCTTCGGTCGTCGGAAAGCCGAAAAGGAGCAAATACGAGAATCCTTCAAAAACCATAGGAACATCAATGATTTTGGCCTCTTCGGGCCCTCTTGGAGGACCTCTCGGAGGCCTCCCAGGCCGTCTTGGAGGCCTCTTGGGCACCTCTTGGGCCGTCTTGGGCCGTCTTGGAGGTTTCTTGGGCGGACTTGGAGGCATCTCCTCCTCTCTTGGGCGGACTTGGAGGCCATCTTGGAGGCCATCTTGGCCGTCTTGGAGGCCATCTTGGCCCTCTTGGAGGCCTCTTGGGCCCTCTTGGGGCCGTCTTGGGGGCCTCTTGGGCCGTCATGGGGCCATCTTGGAGACCTCGTGGGCGATCTTGGGGCGATCTTGGGGGCCTCTTGGGACGTCTTCGGTCGTCGGAAAGCCGAAAAGGAGCAAATACGAGAATCCTTCAAAGACCATAGGAGAATCAATGATTTTGGCCTCTTCGGGCCTTCCTAGAGGACCTCTTGGAGGACTCTTGGGCAGTCTTGGAGGCCTCTTGGGGGTCTTTTGGGCCGTCTTGGGCCATCTTCAGGCTATCTTAGGCCGTCTTGGATACATCTTGGGCCATCTTGGAGGCATCTTGGGGCCATCTGAGCCGTCTTGGAGGCCATCTTGGCCGTCTTAGAGGCATCTTGGCCGTCTTGGAGGCCATCTTGGGGCCGTCTGGGGCAGGAAAACCGTTTGCAACCACCTCTTCCGGGTGGCCGGCGGGACGTGGCGAAGCCCCAGGGGGAGTTGTTTTGAAAAAGAACCCAAACCAAACCCATATCGTTTGGCACGCAAGGCACCCCTGTGATAAATCAAAAGGGGGCGGCGGATCCAGCTGCCTGCGGGAAGTCCCGCCACCTTGTCAGCCAGGCATTCTGAGTGGCGATTGATTGAGCGGGCACAGGAGGCAGTCACGTGTGACACCTCCTGTCTACAGGCTTGGGAGAGCCGTGATGTGGATGATGATGATTATGACGATGATGATGCCATGAGGCCATGATGCCATGATGGTGATGATGATGATGATGATGATGATGATGATGATGTCCTGATGACGATGAAAGAGAAGATGAGAATGACGAAGATGATGATGCTGATGATAATGATGAGAGGAAGGAGGAGGATGATGAGGAAGATGCTGTTGGTGATGATGGTGATGATGGTGACGATGGTGACGACGATGATGATGATGATGATGATGATGATGATGATAATGACGATGGTGGTGATGATGACGACGGCGACGATGATGATGATGAAGCTGATGATGATGATGGTGATGGTGATGGTGATGATGATGATGGTGATGATGATGATGATGATGATGATGATGATGATGATGATGCGGATGATGCTGATGATGCTGAAACTGATGCTGATGATTGATGATTGGTGATTGATGATTGATGATGATGATGATGATGATGATGACGGTGATGATGATGATGATGATGATGATGATGATGATGATTATGATGATGATGATGATGATGATGATGATGATGATGATGATGATGATGATGATGATGATGATGATGATGATGATGATGATGACGATGACGATGACGATGATTATTATCATTCAAAGAGTGTGTTCTGCCGCTGCTGGCAGAAAACCGGGGAGTGCCACTAGGGGTTTCCAACCCGTTCCCCTCCCCTTCGAAAACCGAGGGGGTCACCGGGGGCTCCAAACACCCCCTGGTCCTGGTCCATCGTGAAAAGGGGGGGGGTCACTACCGGTTCGAACCTCCCCCACCCCTTCGGATCCGGAAAACCAGAGGGGGGGGATCACTGCCGGTTCGAACCCCCCCCCACTCCGGGATGGGGGACGCTGGTGGGGAATGTGGTTGGGACGGTGGTGGGGATGGTGGTGGGGAGTGGGGACAGTGGGACGGTGGTGACAGTGGTGGGGACAGTGGGGACAGTGGGGAGAGTGGGAGTGGTGGGGATACTTGTCGGGACAGTGGGGACAGCGCGACAGTGGTGGGGGCATTGGTGGGGACAGTGGGACAGTGGTGGGACAGTGGGGACAGAGGGACAGTGGTGGGGGCAGTGGGGACAGTGGGGACAGTGGGACCATGGTGGGGACAGCGGTAGGGACAGTGGGGACAGTGCGACAGTAGTGGGGGCACTGGCGGGGACAGTGGGGGCAGTGGCGGGAGCAGTGGGGACTGTGGGACAGTTGTGGGGACAGTGGGTACAGTGGGACAGTTGTGGGGACGGTGGCGGTGGGGACAGTGGTGAGGGCGGTGGTGAGGACGGTGGTGGGGACAGTGGGAACAGTGGGAGAGTGGTGGGGACGGTGTTGGGAGCAGTGGCGAGGGCGGTAGTGGGACAATGGGACAACGGCACAGTGGGGAGAGTGGTGGGGACAGTGGGGACAGTGGGACAGTGGAAGGGACATTGGGGACAGTGGAACAGCACAGCGGGACAGCGGTGGGGAAAGTGGGGTCAGAAGGACCGTGGTGGGGACAGTGGGGACAGTGGGACCGTGGTGGGGACAGCGGTGGGGACAGTGGTGGGGACAGTGGGGACAACGCGACATTGGTGGGGGCACTGGTCGGGACGGTGGGACAGTAGTGGGGACTGTGGTGGGGACAGTGGGGACAGTGGGACAGTGGTGGGGACGGTGGCTGTGGGGATAGTGAAGAGGGCGGTGGTGAGGACGGTGTTGGGGACAGCAGGGACAGTGGGGACAGTGAGGCAGTGGTTGGGACGGTGGTGGTGGTGACAGTGGTGAGGGCGGAGGACAGTGGTGACAGTGGTACCGTTGGGAGAGTGGTGGGGACAGTGGGGCAGCACAATGGGGCAGTGGTGGGGACAGTGCGACAGTGGTGGGGACAGTGGGACATTGGTGGGGGCAGTGGGGAGAGTGGGACCGTGGTAGGGGACAGCGTTGGGGACACTGGGGACAGTGCGACAGTGGTGGGGGCACTGGTGGTGACAATTGCGGGCAGTGGTGGGAACAGTGGGTGGGGACAGTGGGACAGTGGTGGGGACAGTGAGGACAGTGGGACTGTGGTGGGGACGGTGTTGTTGGGGGCAGTGGTGAAGGCGGTGGTGAGGACGGTGGATGGGACCCGGGAGGTGACCCCCCTTTGGTTTTTAGGGGGGGGTGGGGGGGTCGATCCGGTAGTGACCCCCCGGTTTTCCGGAGAGGGGGGGGGGCTGGGGAGGGGGGGGGGGGGTTCGGATTGGGGGGTTACCCCCGGGTTCCGGAGGAAGAGGGGGCGAATCGGGGCGGTGGATTTCAAGCATTCTGACGCCGAGCCCCAGTGAACGCACGGGCTGGGTTCGGTACTTGCCCAGTGCTTGGAAGAGTACCGAAACGAAGCTAAGCTCGCTGAGGTGTTGAGCAAAGCGACGTTTGAGTCGCGGTTGCAAGAGCAGGGCCCCGATGACCTAGTCGCTGCCGTGGGGCCGCGCAAGAGGGCGAGGGCTCTGCAGCAGGCGCAGCCAGGCGCGCCAGCTGTGCTCGGGGAGCAAGCCCACAGATTCATGATTGAAGCCATTCGGGCTTCGATTCCCACATACGCCAGTGGAATCAGGTGCTGGGCTGCCTTCTGCGATGCAGTAAACATTGCCGTGCATCTCTCAGCAACAGAGGAGTCAGTGCTGCAATTCGTGAACATGTTCGCTGGTCCTGACACTTTCCGCACGTGCGTCAAGCATTTGCGGCGGGCCCACCGCTTCTTGAGGCTTTCGAATGGTTGGGGCACCGCTGTTCTAAGCCGAGTGCGGTGAGGTATCCGAAAGGCGGGCGCGAACTGCCTCGCGGACTACGCGCGGCATGTTGTCGATTCTGAACAGGCAGCGCTGCTTGCCATCGCTTGGCAATTCCTGCTCCGCGTGCCGTCAGAGGCGTTACCGCTGCAGGAGCGGGGGCGCCATGCCGAGGTTCGGTGTTTTGACGGCGCGGTGGTCATAGCATTGAATTTGCGCAGACATGTGCGCGGACCGAGCACGTTGAAGAGGGATTGCTGCTGTGCTTCGTCTGGCAGAAGCCTGTGCACATACCGCAGGATGAAAGTTGTACTAGAGCTAGCCAGCGCTTCGGGCAGGACAGCTATTTTCACAAAGTCTAGAAGTTGTTTCGTGCAAGCGTTGGGGTGCCACACGGCCGCTTGAGGCATCCCCGACAACGCCGCTCTAGGAAGGCACGCTCTGCGCAGAGGGAGTGCCAGGGACATCCGCGATGCTGGCGGATCTCGCGCAAACTTGCTTAAGGCAGGTGAGTGGTGCGGTGCGGCCTACTCTTCTTCCTTGAGAGATAGGCCGAGCAGGCTGCGATTTCTCGTCTGGTCATTGACCACTCTGACTCTGAGCAGAAGCGGTCTTCTGACTTGGAAACCAACCACATTCTGGGCCACGCCGATCCATCATCATAATATATGTATGCCCTCGTTACGTTCTCCCTTTTTCCTGGGAGTGGCTGCGATTTCGATGTGATGCCTCTGCCTCCGTCTCCCCTCGCTATGGGATGCGAAGCACCTGTGGGCGTGTCTTGTCGTGGCAACTTGGCCCGGCAGCGCAGAAGGAAGGCGTGACATTGCACAAAGGTGCAGGCGCGCCCAATGGCTTCAATTTCGACCATCGACGTGAAATAAAACAACAGGATGGAGGCGGAGCAGGGGGCGTGCACAATGGGCGCTAGGCCCCGCGATAGCCACGACGGGCGGAGGTTCGATGCGCGAGGCCGATGCCCCGCAGGCCTGGCCGGGCGGCCTGCGCCCGTCGAGCCCGACCGAGCGTTGCGCCGGGGGGGGGGGGGCATACCCAACGCAACCAGGCCAACTTGCGGCCCCCAGGAGACTTTTCCTCAGAGTTCGACGTGTTGGAACGCAGAGAAAGGTCGAGGAGAAGGGGAGCTAGGGCTGGATGTGGCCCGCGACAGGCCGTAGAGTAGAGGGGGGCGACCAATGTAATCACGTGAAGCTGCGGTCCCCCGAAGACTTTTCCGCAGCAGAGCGGCGGTGGATCACGCTCTCTCTGATGGTGATGATGATGTTGATGATGATGATGCTGATGGTGATGATGATGATGATGATGCTGGTGCTGATGGTGATGATGATGATGGCGGTGGCGGTGGTGGTGGTGGTGGTCGTGGTGGTTTGGTGGTTGCGGTGGTTGCGGTGGTGGTGATGACGGTGGTAGCGGTGATCACGATGATGATGATGGTGGTGATGATGATGCTGATGATGATGATACTGCTGAATTTTCTGGGCATGGTGTTGGTGATGGGGGCGGTGGTGGTGATGATGATGATGATGATGATGCTGATCATGATGGTGGTGGTGGCGGCGATGGTGGTGGTGATTTGGTGATGTTGGCAAATGTGCTGATGATGTTGATGATTAGGATTGCGATGTTGAGTTAAGTGGTGTTGTTGATGGTTGTGTTGCTGCTGATGATGATGATGCTGATGATGGTGCGAATGATGATGTTTGTTGGTGATGGTGGTGGTGCCGTTGACGATGATGACGACTGTTACAAATATGATGATGGTAACGATGTTGACGATGGTGATGCGAATGTCGATGGTGAGGATGACGATGATGATGATGTTGGCGATTGTTGTGGTGAAAATAGTGCTGATGCTGATGATGTTGCTGATGGTGATGATGGTGACGGCTGCGATGATGAATATGATGCTGATGGTGACAACGATGGCGTTGATTATGATGATGGTGATGATACGGATACTGTCACTGATGATGCTGCTGGTGTTGATGTTGATGATGGTGACGGGGATGCGAATGATAATGTTGATTATGATGGAAATGACGATGACATTGAGCATGACGGTGGCGATGGCGATTATGATGATGATGGTGGCGATGCTGATGGTGATGATGATGATGATGACGTTGGCGATGGCCATGGTGAAGGTAGTTGTGATGCTGATTGTGGTACGGATGCCGATGATGACGGTGATTTTGATGACGACTGTGATGGTGATGGGGAGGAGGAGGAGGAGGAGGAGGAGGAGGAGGAGGAGGAGGAGGATGGTTGTGATTCTGATGATTGCAAGGAGGAGGAGGACGAGGAGGAGGAGGAATATGAGGAAGAGGGGGAGGAGGCGGAGGAGGTGGAAAGGGGAGGACCGTCACATGTGACGCCTTTCGTTTTCTTGGGCCGTCTTGGGACCCTGTCGAGGTTTTCTTGGGCCATATTGGGGTCATCGTTGAGGTTTTCCGGGCCGTCTAAGGCTGACGGTTGCTCGAAAGGCGAGAGCGCGATTTTGTTTAACCGAAAAGCGTTATTACCGTTGGATAGTAAAGAGCTTGGTTTCTTCAGACACTGTTGGAAGTCCTCGTGTGGTTGTTTGGGGTCCTCAAAGAGGCATCTTGGGCCAGCTTGGGGCCATACTCGGCAACCTTGGGGCCTTTTTGGGCCGTCTAGGCATCTTGGGCAATTTTGGTGTCCTTGGTTGCTTGCATGGGCCGTCTCCGAAGTTCGGAACGTGGATCTACTGTTGTTTAACGAGGGATGTTGGTTTCGGGGGCGCGGGTTTTTTGTCGAAGGTACGTGGCTTCGATCGGGTGGGGGATGCATATCGCCGGATGCCGCTAGGGGATCCTTCATTAGAAACCAGAGACCGTACCAGCAACGTGCCAGGGGGCACGGTGGTTGCAGGCCGCGGAGGAGATGTGAGCGCTGAAACCAACAGAGACGTCGAACGCATTGGCATTTTCCATGCAGGCTGCCGTTAACGTGCCTGCCGACGTTTCATCGTCAGTATTATGTGTGGCCGCGGTCTGGGTAAGCTGCGGGCATGTCAGCGCACATGTGCACATCGGTGTTTGCCCATGCGCTTGCATTTAAGTCGTTGAGTTTCAGGAAGAACTGAACAGCAGCCACTACGCATAAAACCATGTGGGCGTCTCACTCTGCGTGCGCATGCTGTTCGGAGGGATGCGGACGCCGCGATTCATCCGCTTTGTTAGGCCGCAGTCCAAGAGGAACATCGGAGGCTGGGGGTGAGGACGACGTGAGACGACGCGCATCCCATTGGGAGGCCGGGTTCAGTTCCGCTGCCGTCCGTGACGGCAAAGCGAAGTCGCGCGAACGGCGAGAAAGATTCAGCTTCAGTTAGGCACATCTCGTGTCTATTTGTTTCCGGGTCACCAATGCCCGCCGCGCCCCCCCCAGTTTGTCCCGTTGGTGTTTCCGTGCGGCACATGTCTTTTGGATTGTCTGGTTCGGTTGCCCCGTGTACTTGTCCTGGCGTTCGTGAGTGTTGTTGGTCGTTCGTTGTGGCGCCATTCGTCGCGATTTCCGTACATGCACGGCCAGATACAGTCGAGAAAGTGCCCACCAATACAAATCGATTAGGGAATTCTGGACCATTCCGTTCGACGCTGGCATTTCCAGAGGATTGGTGACAAGAGGAAGCGACAAGAGACCCCAAGGACAGCTTTGACGCCAGTTGGCGCCAAATGTCTGGGAGGGCTGAGGACCACTCTGAGTCTTTGGACCCATTGATGACGACCATTACACGCTTCAGCCTGCCAAGTCGTGCAGGGCCGTAAAAGATGAGGATGAGCCGACCAGGGCGAATCGCTGATCAATCGATCGACCAGGAACGAGGCAATTTCTTCCGTCAGCAGAGTGTTCTGCGCTCTGGTAACGAAGGACCGGGTTGGCTGCGTGTAAACATTGGCCCAGACAAGGGGGAGGGTAGGGGGACCCGGGCTCCCTCCATCGCTCCCTCCTTTTCCCTCTCTTCTTCCCCTTCCCCTCCTTCCATGGATCGGGCCTCTCGACCTTACCCCCCGCTGCAGCGCCGGAGGGAGAATCCAGGCCTCCTGATTGGTGCTAGGGCAGATGAGCTCGGAGGAGTGCGCCGCATCGCCGATGCATTGGCGACTACGGCGCGATATGGAGCACGATGTTTTCAATCCTGACGTCGCCGACGCATCGCCAATGCATCGGCGATGAGGTACGATCCCCCGACCCATGAACTCTGGCCCCAGTGAGTGCGGCCCACAGGGTTGGGGGAAGGGGGAAAGAGGGAGGGGACGGGGGAGGACCTAGCTCTGACCAGGGTGTCGAGGCGGAACGTTCCGTGGCGAAGAGTGCCCCCAAAGACGCCAAAAAGTGCGAAAGTTTTGAACATCCTGGAGAGCGAGTCCTCCTCCTCCTCCTCCTCCTCCAAGTTTTCCTCGTCCTCTCCGGAGGTCTCTGGAGATTCCGGGGGGTCCCTGAAGGTTTTGGAAATCTCCGGAGCCTTGGAACCCTCTAGAAGCCCCAGGAGTTTTCGATTTCGGGATTGGGGACTTTTGGAACACTCAGAGTATCCAACATCTTTGGTCCTCCTCCTACTGGTCCTCCACCTTTTCCTCTGGCGAACTTCTCGTGCCTCGTGCTGTCTCTTTCTATCTCCTCCGATCTCTCCTCGCTCCACCTCCTCGTTCCCCGGCTCAGAGTCCGAGGGCCGTTTCCCCTCTGGGAGGGGGCCCGCCCTTTCGCGCCCCATGGGCTGGAGCGGCTGCCGCAGCCAGGAGCGCCCCGCCAGCTCCCACCCCCGGCCCTCCCGGCATCCCCCCCCCGCTCCCGCCCCCTTCCTGGTCGTCGTCTTCCTCCTCCTCCTACTCTTCCTCCTCCTGCTCCGTACCTCAGGTGGCTCCCCAGCGGCCCCCGCCCCCCGCGCAGCATTTTGCCCCGCGGCGGGGCGCGGCGGCCGCGCCATTCAGGGGACGCCCCCAGCCCCGCGGGGGCGACCCGAGCGGGCAGGCTCGCCCGCCTGGCACCGCCGGCTGCGGCGGAAGAGGTCCGCAGCCCGCCGACATCTTCGCCAGGCGCGCGACGCGCAGCTCCTCGCCATGCATCACGGCAGCACGCCGCCAGCGTCATCCTCGAGCAGTGGGTCAACGTGGACGACCTGCAGACACTGCAAGACCTGGTGGTGGAACGCGCAGCTCGAGAAGATGGACTACTGGTGCTCGTGCGGCTGCCGCGTGGCGCGCCCAAGGCCAAAGCCAAAGCGGTGGGGACCCGCGGGTGGCCAGTCTGGCCAGGCGGCGAAGGGCAGCAGCCAGAGCGGCGAGGCAGCGGGAGGAGCCGCAGGAGGAGTGGCCCAGCTGGCCAGCGCGCTCCAGAACGTCACGCAGACGCTGAGCACGCTGCAGCTGGCCAACCGCGACACAATTGTCAAACAGTTGGCTGGAGTCACGACGGTTTTGCAGTCGGCAGAGACGCCAGCACCGCCGCCACGTTCGAGGGCGGCCCGACTGGCAGATGCAGCGCGGGAGCTCGAGGACGCCAGCAAAAAGTACAACACCGCGTTCGAGATGATGCAGGCCGCGGAGGAGAAGGCGGCCAAAGCTCGGGCCATCCTGGCCGAGCGAGCGGGCGCCGTGCTCACCGCGGAGAGAAATATCGAGGGGATCCAGCAGGAGGGCAAGGCGAAGCAGCGCGGCATCTTCGAGCATCTCTTGGACGCCGACCTGCACCTACTCTCGCCCACCGACGTGCAGATCGAGGCGGTCGAGAACGAGTTCGAGTACGAGGCCGAAATGGACGCGGAGGGCAGGCGCGCGGTCGAGGAGGCCAAGAAAAAAGCCTTGGGCCAGCTACAACAGAGCGCCAAGGCATTCGCTGGCCAGCTGCGCGACCACCTGAACGAGGCCAAGAAGCAGGCGGAGGAAGAACGACGGCAGATATCCAAATCGCACAAGAAGCGCAAGGCCGACCAGGCAGCGCAGGAGGCCCCAGCAGCATCGCCAGCGGCAGCGCCACCAGCACCGACGCCAGCTCCGCCTACAGCGACCCCCACGGACAAGCCCGAGGAGGAGGAGGAGGAGGATAATAATGCGGCAGAGTCCTACCTACAGCAGAGGAGGGACGCGGCCGCAGCTGCCTCCTCCGACGGCCACTGACGGTCACGGCGGGGTAGGCGGCGGCAGTATGGCGACGCCACCCACCACGGCCGCCTCATATTCAGCGCCAACATCTCTACCTGGGGGCCAACGGCATTGGGGCGGCTGCGGCGCGACGGCATACGGCAACCGCACGCTGTCTACGCCCTGCAGGAGACCCAGGTAGACCAGCACTTCCTCGATGACACCGAGCACGCACTGCGGAAGACGGGCTACTCCGCAGTGTTCGCGGCGGCGAGGGCAAGCGACACCAGCGAAGCAGGCCTTTACGGAGGCGCGGGTGCCCTCACTACAGGCCACCTCAAAGCGACATCATTCCGACACCGGGGAAGTCGAAGTACAGTCTCGGGCGCGTCGACACCAGACGCACGCGGAGTGTATGACGACATCGGCATGTGCGACTGGGCGCCAGTCACCTTCCACATGCGCGGCACCCCCCTACTCATCATCTCCTTGTGCCTCGACCCTCCCGCACCGCCCCCAGCGGCGCCGGCGCCGGGAAGTTGACCTCGCTAGCCGCCTTCCTCTCCAACATTGCGACGCCCTGGATCCTCCGCGGCGACTTCAACACGCCAGACACCGAGTTCGAGAAGACGGGCTGGGCCGACGCGCTTGGGGCCGCCAGCGCGGTCACACTCCCCGAGGGCCAGGCCGCGTGCTTCTTGGGCGACTGCACGCCGAGCAACATCGACTACGCACTGGCCACCCGAGGAGGCAAGCGCATGATGCGAGGCATACAGCAAGCGCACGACGCACCTTGGAAGCCGCACATCGGTCTGGCCATCGCGGCGAACGCCAATTTCGACCAGAACGAGCGCCGCAGGCTGGGCATGCCGAAGGCCTTCCCACGACCACCACCACCGCGCCCAGCCAAGACCACGAACAGCAAGCGCAGCCAGAAGCAGAAGAAGGTAACTGAGCATGAACCACCCGAAGCGCCAGACCAACCTGAACGACCAGAGGACCTGGACCAAGCGGACGCAGCTCGATGGGAGGCACTGGGGGACCACGGCTGGCGCCACCTCCCAACGCAGCACCGCGGCGCCAGCGGACCCCCGCCCAGACTCAGCACCATGGGCGAGCAAGAAGCCGACCCTTTCGCCGACATCGACGACGGCGGCCTCGGCGCAAACACCCAGCTCGACGCTGACCACAATTCGTACATCCAGGAGTGCGCCGCGCCCTACGACGACTACGACGACCCCAGCACCGCCAACCGTGCACCGCAGGATGCCAACTTCCCACACCACGACACAGTCGCTGCAAGCCCCGACGTTCAAAGGGCGACGGCAGACCACAGCGACGGCATTCCATTGAATTCAGCACAGGACGACCAGACGGACTGGAGCAAGGCTCAAAGTGCAGAGCAACAGCAACCGTTTGAGGGCCGCCTGGCAGCCATCACCACAGAAGCAGCAGGCGTCGACACGATCTCGATGGACGACACCTGGGACGCGGCAGCTCTACTCCACCACGGACGTCCAGAGCGCGCGCCGCGGTATATTCTGCAGCGCACAGCCTACTGCGTCGACCCCGACAAGGCCGAACTACTAGGAGCCCGCTACCACCCCCTCATCAACACGTCGGAGACCTTCTTCTGCATCGCGTACAAAATACCGTTGGAGGACCGCGCCCACTTCGTCGGCAGGTGCAAAGGCTACGAATTCAAATCCACCCCACTTCGCTTACAGGGGGCAGGGCGGATTCGACATGCGCCACACAGATCAGACTGGTGGAGCCGAGTAGAGATCGCGCTGTCCACCTTAACGACCCTGAGACAGCGAGGACGGGGCCAACAACAGCAACAAGAGCTACATGCAGCTGGGCGCAGACTAGTCCGAGAAGGATTATCTCCACTGGGCAAAGGAGCCAACGACACGGCGCGGCTGCACCGCGACCTATAGCGACAGCGACTCACGCAGTTGGACCGACTCCCGCTCGACTCCTTGCAAGACATGGCAATGCAAGCGAGCGACGAGAAGCGCGTGTAAAGGCCCTCGGGTGCCCCTAGCGAGGCTTCTTAAGGGGCTTAGTGGAAATTTCAAAATGGCGACGCGGCCCCGAAAATCAAAGCCGCATGTTTGTTTCGCGGGAGTCGCGGCCCAGAGCGGCAGCGAATGAAATTGCTATGCCAAAAAACCAAAGCGCACCTGCGAAAACTGACCTTTTCCACAATGCCCCACGGAAACGGCAAGA